ACCTGCTGGACACCATGAGGGCCACGGTGAGGGATGAGATGACGGCGGCTGTCACGGCCTACGAGGAGAAGCCGAGGGAGCAGTGGCTCTTTGACTACCCTGCCCAGGTACCTGCCAGCGCTCCTAGGAAAGGTGGGCTGTGGCTTCCCCTTCCATCCTGCCCTTCCCTGCTTTCAGTGGTGGCCTCTGACCGTGGCTGGGGATGTTTCTGGCCACTGCTGTGCTGTCCAGGAAGGAGGAAGGGCGAGTTCTCCTTTCTCCTGGCAATCTCTTGATGGTTTCCCAGGTTGAGCTCCATGCTCTGATTGGAGCTCCAGGCAGGATGCAGTCCCGGGGCTTGGGCAGTGGCTGCTGCATCCTGGGGGTCATGGGAAGCCCATACACCCGGGGAGGTGAGAGGTGCCACAGGAGAACAAAGGATGAGGCCTCATGAGAGGAAAGAGCCCCTTGGATGACCCTCTGGCAGCCTCGTGCTCTCCAGCTCAGCCTCCCGTGTTGTCAGACATGGGAAAGGGGCACATTTCCTGAGGAGCAGCTGCCAAACCTGTCTGCCCCCAACAGGGTGTTACATGGATGTCGAGGGGCTGGTCCCCACTTCCTGTGTGCTGTGACACCGTGTGACAAAACACTTAATCTTATGTCACAGATCTTCATCCTCGATCTCCCTGTGGATCAGACATCCAAATGTGAGGAAGCTCTGGTGTGTCCCCGATACTGAGGCAGCCTGTTTTTGCAGGTGGCTCTTTGCTGCACCCAGATCTGGTGGACAACCGAGGTGGGGATTGCCTTTGCCAGGATGAAGGAGGGCTACGAGAAGGCCATGAAGGAGTACCACAAGAAGCAGGTGGCCCAGCTGAACACCCTGGTGACCATGCTGCTGGGGCAGCTCTCCAAGGGCGACAGGCAGAAGATCATGACCATCTGCACCATCGACGTGCACGCTCGGGATGTGGTGGCAAAGATGGTCGCGCAGAAGGTTTGTGCTCACAGGTCAAGCTGGTCCCGTGCTGGGCACTGGAGTGGGGATTATGGAGGGATAGAGCAGGTACAGGTCACTGCCTGACTCAGTGGGAGGCACATGGCTATAAGGAAAAGCATTTGGGCTCTTTTTTCTTATCGGTCCCCTGCTCTGGTGTGGGGCCACAGGGACCCCTTTAGGACTCCCTTGTCTGTCACTGCTCCCCCCCACCATTGCCCTGCCATCACAGAATCATGGAATGGTTTGGCTTGGAAAGGACCTTAAAGCTCTTCTCATTCCACCCCCTGCCACAGGCAGGGACACCTTCCACCAGCCCAGGTTGCTCCAAGCCCCGTCCAACCTGGCCTTGGACACTTCCAGGGATGGGGCAGCCACAGCTTCTCTGGGCAACCTGTGCCAGGGCCTGCCCACCCTCCCAGGGAAGAACTTTTTCCCAATATCTCTAACACTGCCCTCTGTCAATGTCCTCTTCCTTGTCCTCTCACTCTGTCCAAAGTGACATTCCCTGTCCAAAATCCCTCTCCATCTGTCCTTGGAACCCCTTCAGGCACAGAAAGGCTACAATTAGGTCACCCAGGAGCCTTCTCTTCTCCAGGCTGAACAATCCTAACTCTCTCAACCTTTCCTCATAGCAGAGGGGCTCCATCCATCTAATCACAATGTCTTTGACACTGTTTCATGTCCAGCTCTGCAGGTGGGTGGGAAGGTGCCCTTGGCATGCTGGGTTGTGGCTGTGCCTTCCTTTGTGTCCTCCCAGAGGCAGCTTCAAGGCACAGCTGGCCTCGGTGGTGTCTTGGCCCAGTTTGGGATGCAGGTGTCTGTCTGTCCACCTGCAGGGCTGCTGCTGGTTGTGCAGAGTGTTGGCCATGGCTCCCTGTCCCCTGTCCCCTGGTGCTGTCTAAGGCCCCTTCCCTGGCTAAGCAGCCTCTGCCCCTTTGCTCACCCTGCATTGCTGAAGCCTCTTCATGCCATGCTGCTTCTTAAATCTCTTCAGGAACCTTTGTGCTGCCTTTTCTCTTGGACATTCACTTTTTCCTCTCCCAGGGAAGTGCTTGCTAATTTGGTCCTGCTCTGTGCTGATGGGAGGTGGGGAGGTGACATTCCTCACCCCCCTGCCTTTGCAGTGGCCACTCCACCCCCAGTGACAGCTCCCTTGCAGTCTCTGAGCTGTGTGGCCCCCCTGATGGTGCCTGTGGGCTTGTTGCAGGTGGACAATGCCCAGGCGTTCGTGTGGCTGTCGCAGCTCCGGCACCGCTGGTCGGACGAGGAGCGGCACTGCTTTGCCAACATCTGTGATGCCCAGTTCCTGTACTCCTATGAGTACCTTGGCAACACCCCTCGGCTTGTCATCACCCCCCTGACCGACAGGTGAGGCCCTGGAAAACACCAGCACATGGCTGGAGGGAGAGCTGCCAGCTAAAGAGGGGTTCATTTTGGACACCCACACCCCTCTGGTTCTTCCTCTGTGTCCCAGCAATCCTCTGGCAGAGCTCCAGCTCTCACCTGTTGTTACAGAATCACAGAATCAACCAGGTTGGAAAAGACCTCTGAGATCACCGAGTCCAACCCATGACCCAACCCCACCTTGTCACCCAGCCCATGGCACTGATGCCACATCCAGGCTCTGCTCAAACCCCTCCAGGGACGGGGACTCCACCCCCTCCCTGGGCAGCCCATTCCAGTGTCTGATCCCTCTCTCTGGGAAGAACTTCCCAATGTCCAACCTAAACCTGCCCTGGGGCAGCTCAAGGCTGTGCCCTCTTGTCCTGCTGCTGGTTCCTGGGAGCAGAGCCCGACCCCCCCCCAGCTCCCCCTCCTGTCAGGGGATTGCAGAGAGTGAGAAGGTCCCCCCTGAGCCTCCTCCTGTCCAGGCTGAGCCCCCCCAGCTCCCT